AACTTGCTAATTAGCACATTATTAGGAAAGGCAATTTGCAAAGATTCATTACAAAACATTATACTCACTTCTTCTGTAGATGAGGCTGGAACACGAATGATTCGCGTGAACAGATCGAGGGGAGCATTCCCTTCAGAAACAAACATAATCCACTGCGAGTTCAGCGGCTCAGATGTCGGGAGTAAATGACGACTGCTATGTTCATTATTACATCGAACAACAGACAAACAACTTGTAAAAGTGCATGTAGCATCCTATGACACCTTTAACACTACTAGATTATGTAAGTTTCCTTTTACACAGAATTACCATTGTAACCTTATTTTTTGCCAGAATGAAAGGAAAATGACAGGTCAAAGTCTGACGAGTAGGCAAATATCCTTAACGCCTAAATACTACTCAAATGTTAAACAAATAGATCCAAAATGTCTCGTATGTCCTCCTGCAGCTTTTAAAAGTATGGTTTCCTTGAGTAGAGAACTGAGAATCCAGAGCGTATTTCCAAAAATCTTCTATTTTCAATAAGGCTGATCACAAAAAATCTAATTCTTTCCAAGCACCTGCCAGGGTTCATGTACCTCTGGCCGGGAATCACTTTCCATGAATGTATTTCCTGCTGCGATCAAAGCATTGTTGGGAGGTTGGAGTGTCGTAGTTCTCCTGCATTGTTCTAACCATTTAAATCGAGCACAGCATGTGTCAGTCTATGTGTATAACACAGTCTCACGGCAATTTGTGAGTATTTTACGATTTGGCGAATCGGTGGCTTGTGTGTGTCAGCGTGTGAATGAAATCTTTCAGTATTCCCCAGCTGCCCTGTGACACAAACAGAGTGCATGTGAAGGTGAAAGAGGCTTACTGTGGCGGCACATGACTCTTCCCATAGTCCACCTGCTTCACATGTCTAAAAATATAGCACAAAAATCTCTTATCAAAACTACTGAAGAAAATCCAGCCACATGACACCGGGAAACTAATGCACAACTAATGACAACACCATTAATTAACAAGTAACAATGAGCTCTTTGCATACCGCTGCTGCTTAGAATTAAATTAAATGCAAGCAAAGAGATCTCATCACATGCAAATGTCAGTGTTACACAACCCGAATACAGCTGGACTCAGCACTTTGGAGCTGAGCTGATTTACTGCTATTATTTTGACATGGATAAAACACAACCTGTTCCATTACCTAGCTCTTTAATCTCCTCCTAGGTGACCAGCGGCTCCAGAGACCGTAGTTCGAGGAAACCTGGCAACCCCGTTCACCTCCACACACTAAACACTCACATACTCTTGCTGGGAACTATTCGAATTCTTGTTGACTTCAACATTGTCTTAATGGCTCACAACACTTAATGCTCAAGTCATTCAAAGTGCCTCAGATGGGGATAATAAAGAGGAATGAAGACAAAAATGTTGAGTTTAAAATCATATACAAAACTGAAAAAAAAAATTCAGTATAATAAACTGCAAACAAATACATTCATATTTGCTGTGCAAATGTTCTTTTTCAAATAACTATATCTCATTTAAGGTTTTTTATACTGTGCTTCAGAATGCAATTAATTTATGTAATATTCTTTAAAAAACTGCCCTCCTGTTAGGATGACTATGCAGTGACCTTGACATTTAGGAAATTGTAGGTTGTTCTCTAATTTTGATCTCTACTGTATAATCAAAGTGTATTCTGACCGTTCAACAAGGTTTTGTAGATACTACAATAATAAATTGTATCTAAAAAGGCAATGCATGTAATTTTAAGTTGGTTGATATATCAATATATATCAGTATGATGAAATATAAAATTATGAGCTATATTTTATATAATCATAATGACCATTCAATAAGTATTTTAACAGTGCAACTTCGTATTTAAAAGACAATGCATGTCATTTTAAGTTGGTTTATATATTAATATTACATGACAATGTATTCTGACCATTCTAGAAGTATAACTAAATTCTCGCAGTGATAGATTAAAAAGATATTGTTTTCTAAAGCATGTAACACATCTGTGACCCTGGAGCACAAAACCAGTCTTAAGTCGCTGGGGTATATTTGTAGCAATAGCCAAAAATACATTGTATGGGTCAAAATTATCTATTTTTCTTTTATGCCAAAAATCATTAGGATATTAAGTAAAGATCATGTTCCATGAAGATATTTTGTAAATTTCCTACCGTAAATATATCCAAACTTAATTTTTGATTGGTAATATGCATTGCTAAGAACTTAATTTGGACAACTTTAAAGGCGATTTTCTCAATATTTTGATTTTTTTTTCACCCTCAGATTCCAGATTTTCAAATAGTTGTATCTCGGCCAAATATTGTCCTATCCTAACAAACCATACATCAATGAAAAGCTTATTTATTCAGCTGATGCAGATGATCTATAAATCTCAATTTCAAAAAACTGACCCTTATGACTGGTTTTGTGGTCCAGGGTCACATTTGTGCATTGACAGATTAAATAATGTCACATGTATGTGGCATGTACATCTACATGGACAGCATGTATGTGGGAAAAATAATAGAAACGAAGCAGCAAGAGGCTGCCATCCCGTAGTGTAACGACCACAGCTCTCACCCTTTGAGTGATCAGCACAGTGTGGACACATGGACAGGCCATCTGTCTGCAGACAATCTCACACATGCGAATGGCACGAATTTGAGTGACCAAACTCTTTATTATACACTATACAAGAGCAGAAATGTACTGTTCAAATGCCACAAAAATAGATATCCGTGACCTTGGATTGTGATCATGCAATCATAAGATTTTATTAAAGCAGATAAGAAAAGGAGAGACAAGGACATGTGAGGGCATCATGGCACACTAGCTTTATGGAAAAACACTACTGAGGATCACAATCCTTTGGCTCTGCTGTGATTGGCAGACACAATTAGCTCAGCATTGTTGCCATACAATCAGTCTTTGGACATATATGTGACCCTGGACCACAAAACCAGTCTTAAGTCGCTTGGGTATATTTTTAGCAATAGCCAAAAAAAAAAAAAAACACATTGTATGGGTCAAAATTATCGATTTTTCTTTTATGCCAAAAATCATTAGGATATTAAGTAAAGATCGTGTTCCATGAAGATATTTTGTAAATTTCCTACCGTAAATATATCAAAACTTAATTTTTGATTAGCAATATGCATTGCTAAGAACTTCATTTGAACAACTTTAAAGGCGATTTTCTCAGCATTTAGATTTTTTTTTGCACCATCAGATTACAGATTTTCAAATAGTTGTCCTAACAAACCATACATCAATGGAAAGCTTATTTATTCAGCTTTCAGATTATGTATAAATCTCAATTTTGAAAAATTGACCCTTATGACTGTGGTCCAGGGTCACATATGCCCTCTGCACCCCACCCATTTTTCTTTCTTTTCTTTTTTTCTCTTTCTCTGTTGATCCCGAAGTTGTGAGTCTAGGTAGATTATCCCATCACAAGGCCACTGTCCACTTCATGTGACCTCACTTTAGCACTATCTGGAGAGTTTGCTTTAGCACACAGACTGAATCTTAAAAAAACACACTGGAAAAAAATGTATTGTGTGTCAGTCATCGAGGTCTTATGATGGAATGGCATGTGTGAATGACGCTTTGCTTTCCTGTATAGTGACGCGAGCAACAGTCCCCTATTTCACAATGCGCATGCGCAACATCAAAATCACGAATGATGTTTATGGTGTGTTCAAGTCATGTCGGATAGATCGTATTTACGAGTTGAATGCACATGAACGCCACCACAAAGTCGTTATTACGAGTGGGAAACTCAAAATTTTCTTTAAGCCCCATTTAGCTAACAGCTTTTTTTAATCTCTGTATTTTAGCATGCTGTTTGTTGATGCTGAAAATCAGTTATACTGGGATCCTGGTCTAAAAAAAAATATTAAAAACGCAAAACACACCTGATGCGAATTCTTTGCTCTTCATTTTCTATAAGCAGAGTTAACAGACCCTGTTGTATTAGTGACTTAGTGACATGACATGTGGCCAAGTATGGTGACCCATACTTGGAATTAGTGCTCTGCATTTAACCCATCCAAAGTGCACACACACAGCTGCGGCGGCGCCCGGGGAGCAGTTGGGGGTTCGGTGCCTTGCTCAAGGGCACCTCAGTTGTGGTATTGAAGGTGGAAGAGAGCACTGTCCCTCCACCTACAATCCCTGCTGGTACGAGACTCGAACCCGCAACCTTTGGGTTACAAGTCCGACTCTCTAACCATTAGGCCACGACTTCCCCATTTATTTTCTTGTCATTTATTAAAAGAAGGTACACCGCCATCTTGTGCCGACTAAACTGACTTGAACGCACCTGACGTCGTAATTACGATTTGTCAACTCGTAAGTACGAATGTCCCAGGAGGACTTGAACGTAGCATTAGAAACAGAATAAATAAGCGCGGAGAAGCGGAATCCTGAATGGGCGGGGTTTGGTAACTAAACGTTTGCATATGATTGGTCAGTTTGGACGCGTATAGAAGTGTAATCTTATTTTTAACTCTTAACTCGATGTTCTTTGATTAAATGGATAATAATGTTTTCAGCACCATTATCCAGATGTAAATTCTTGTCCAGACAGCTGCTGAAACAGCTTGGACGCAAGCGCTTTATCTCGTGATAACTGTTACTTTTCTCAGAGCTGCTAAGCATAGCCACCACAGTCGTTTTCAATTTTCGATTTTCGAGAAATCATTTTGGTTTAGTATATCAGGAACTAATCTTTGAAAACTAAGCGAGTTTTAAATATACATTAAGCGTGACCTAAAAAACAAAAAACTAAAAATGAGACTCGATGGAGGATACAGCTTTCTGTGCCCCCTGCTGGTGTCATATAAACTCATTACCAAGCAACACAATTGAGGCCCAGTGGCGCGACGCGCGCGACGCTGAGCGATGCGAAGTGAGCGTGTGCTTGTCTCTTTAAGAAACACTCCTGTTGCATGAGAGCCTGGTGTTTTTCCACTCTCTCCGTTATTACATGCGCTCGCATATAAGACACAAGTCGGGGGGAGAGAGCGTAAAGATTATTTCCCTCGCTTTGTAGCCTCACCACAAGAAGACTAAAGAACAAGAGACGGACTTGAGCTATAAATTGCATTGTAATGTAAGGTGAGTAACACCTTACAGGTCAGCGGAGGCTGAACTGTATCTTTAAGCGCATCTTTATGTAGCCTAAATTTTATTAACGTTTTAAGTACTCGTTTATTTTTGTCTAAGGCGGATGGTCATTTTTAAAATTAAAATATATATTAAATTAAATTTGAGTCTTTATGTCTAGACTTTATTTTATTTTTGAATAAACTCATTTATTTTTTGTCCAGAACGATACATGGACTCTGCTTTGAATTGGAAAAAGACTTTAAAATAGTTTGCCGTTCAACAGTTCTAATTGTAATTTAGTACAAAAACGCTGTTCCTAAAACTCAAGGCTTCTGGCATTGTATTGAAAGGTATGCGTCTTAGTTGCTGTGCACAAATGTTCTTTTTGCCTAAGTGCTCTCACAGGCTTTTGAAAGCTTAATGGCATTTAATATTAAATGCAATCAATTTATTGTAGATGCACTGTAATTGAAGATGAATTGTAAGTACTGGTTAACAGTGTACCAGTCTAATATAGCCAGCAAAGGGCTTGTGACAGCACCCTCTGGTCCATCACAGAGCATCGTTCTCATAGCGCGTGCTTTAACAGCTCAATAAAAATGTAGGTTAATGTGAATTTATTCTGCACTGCTCGTGCATGTAAACACTGACACCGCCGGAGACAGATCTGTCTCAACCCTGTCATGTGGGTTCATGTAACACGCGCACAGACACAATGTAGGTTATTGGGGCACAGCCAAGATTTGAACTTCTTGTGTGCATTGGTCTTGTGTGGCAAACGCAAACCCCTCGGTGATAGATATGCATTGGAGATGTAATTGGTTCACAAATGAATGAGGGTTTGAGGCGTGTCCGCACGCGAAGCCTTTTACTGTGGCTCGTGCTATGTCTGTGTTTGTGGTGCGAACTTGCAATGTCCTAAAAACTTGTTTAGGGGTTTTATCATTTATTCCGTAGCTGGGGTTTCCAAAATTAAACATGCATAGAAAAATGTAATTTAATCAGCAGCGCGCGCCGGAGAATTAGGGCATCTGGCGACGAGCGAGCGGAATATTTTTCAGGTTTCATTTTGAGAGCAGACCGATTTCGTTTTATAATGCATGACATGAGATGGCCTTGTAGAAACAGTACTTTGCACTTTCTCCTCAATACCACAATACCTCAATATCTCCTCAAAAAGTACTGGGGCAGCTGCAGGTTAGGGGTTTAACCCATACACTCTAAAAAATGCTGGGTTAAATACAGCCCAGTGCTGGGTAAAATAGGGACAAACCCAGCAATTGGGTTGTTTTGACCCAGCGGTTGGGTTACTACCCAGAAGGTTGGCTTACTGCCCAGAAGGTTGGGTTAAACATTTAACCCAACCGCTGGATCAAAACAACCCAATTGCTGGGTTTGTCCCTATTTGACCCAAAGTTGGTTTGAAACAACCCAGCATTTTTAGAGTGATAATAATAATAATAATAATAATAATAATAATAGCATCATCATCGTCATCATTATTCTTATTAGATAAGTGGAAAACTGCATCTTATCATTTCCTATGTTTTCTTTTGTATGATTGCATTGTCACATTTTTGATCATCTTTATTCTTTATCTAGAAGGTCATACTCCA